AGAATTTCGTAGAAATTCGCTTCCAATCGTATTATTTCGGAGAATATATTTCCTTTATTTTTGAATAGACAGTGAGTGTATTCTGCTTGTATTCAAGCCTTCCCTTATAATCCTTTCTGTTACCTGTGTTATTCACTATTTACGATTAGATACTGAAGTGCTCTTGGTGAGGTAATCCTTGCTGTCAAAGGACACCGCCACAAGGTGAACAAGGCCGCTGGCAAACGGCGGTCCGTATAGTAAATCATCGTTAGGTAAGTCTAATACAGGCATCCCAGCTTCCTCCGTGTCGTTTCCGACCCATTTCTTTTGTAAAAAGGTTGATTCAAGAAGAAGCTCTATGGGTTCTTGTTTGTCAGAGAATGATTTAGATGGATTTGTCAGTTCGTGTATTTCTATATGTGAATTATCATAACACCAGTTGTTATGGATGGGGTCCACTAGAACAAAAAGCGATTTTTGCGCTCTTTGCACGCGAAGATTTTTCGTTGCGGGAGGTCTCAGGGTCTCCAGCGGCTGAGCATAAGTATACCTGAAGTTCCTGCAGCGAAAAAAGTTATCGCGACGCGAACGCGAAAAAGTTGCTTCTGTCCTAGTAATCCACACCATTTGTAATACAAGTACACAAAATCTTTCTTCTGGGTTCGTAAGAACGACAAAAATTTTCAATGTACAATTAACTTTTTTGCACATAACGCTTCATGTATTATAGCGCTACGGGTTGCCCAGACGTCTACTTGGAGAAAACGTGGAGCTGTGAAATAGGTCAACACTACATATTACGTGGCTTAAAGTTAGTTGGAGCGAGGTTTATAGATGAATTCTAAAAGGAGCAAAGTTGGTAAAGAGTTCGGCTCACTACGTGAGCTCTTTTTACCTCACTCCTAATGTGCATAAGAAATGGGCGCTCGCCGTGGATGGTAACTAGGTAACAGGCACCTTCTTATATATCGAATTGGGTGGAAGTTTCACAAAAGCAAATTACAATGAGAGCCGTTCAAATTGAAAGAACGACGATGTACGTATAGATGGACGCTCCGTCGAGCAAATGATATCGGAATAATTATAATATTATTATGATTATAGATTATTATTCCATCAATATTCTTAGCTTTCGACGAAAAGTAGCTATGAAGGCGAGAACGTAGAGCAGGTGCTACTGTCCGATATAATTTGTCAGAAAAATTTCGTAGAATGAGAATCATCATTTCGACAATTCGTATTATACGAAGTTATACTATACCATTTATTCTTGAACTAGAGTGGTCAGTATTCTGCCTTGTATTCAAGCCTTCCCTTATAATCCTTTCTGTTACCTGTGTTATTCACTATTTACGATTAGATACTGAAGTGCTCTTGGTGAGGTAATCCTTGCTGTCAAAGGACACCGCGACAAGGTGGACACGGCCGCTGGCAAACGGCGGTCCGCTATAGTAAATCATCGTCTATGTAATGCCATTTTCCGTTCTTTCTAGAGGTTGTATTCACAGCAGAAGCGTCTATGGGTTTTTGTTTGGATTGGATGGATTTCTTAATTATGTCGTTATATTATCTATATGTTATGAAAATGCATCATCCAAAACTCACAATTTGTACTGGGCGTGGTTCACTAGGCAGAGAAGCGATTTATTGTCTATTTCGCACGACGAAAAATTTTTCGTTGCGGGCGGCTAGGTCGCGCTGAGAATGAAGATGTACTGAGTTCCTGCAGGCGAAAAAAAGGCATCGCCGACGCGAAACTCGAAAAAAGTTTGCTTTTCTGTCTAGTAAAGCTACAAATTTGTTACAAGGTATACAATATCTTTTTCTGGGTTCGTAGACGACAAAAATTTTCAATGATTACCAATTTCTTTTTTTGCCAGAACGACTTCCATGTATGCTATACTACGTTATCTGCCCCCATGACTTCGTACTTGTGAGAAACACGTAGTGATTGAGCTGTGAAATATTCAACACTACAATTTTACCGCGGATATTCGAACCTACACGGCATGGTTTTCTCTCAGATTTTGTATCTTGCAGCTGGATTGAACTCTTTTTTTGCGAGGATTTCTGCGAGGGCGTTTCCACAATACGTCACTCAAGCGCATTTTACCCGAGTTACTTCAAAGTTTTTTTTCTTTTTCTCCTTTTTCGTTACTAAGCATTAACAGCTTATTTACTTACGCTTGAAGATGTCCCAAACCTCAGAAAAGTTGAAGTTTGTCAGCATCTATATTAGTACCGTCGATTCTTGTTGAAGTACCAGCTGGTAACTCATTCACTAGATAGTGAAGCTGAGCCTGCACCCACACACCTGGTTCTTAGTTTGCCTTCACCGTTAAGAAACCATAAAACAGTGTCTCATATGTGCGTGGTCATAAATTCTTCTTCGTTTTTCCAATGTCTTTGTCTGCTTTCAAATGATTTGTCTTCTCGGTTACTTTGCCAGCCACATTCGATTTCTTTTTTTCATCCGATGCGAAAGGGGCTTTGAAATACTCCTCGCTACCATCACCACCACTCGGCACCTTTTAATTGATGACGCGTAGTTCCGTCAAAGTCTTTATAGTTGCTACATAGACTGGTCAGAATTTGGAGCTTCTTACAGATTCTAAACATGGATTGCAAGCATAAGTTCTTCTTTTGCGCCGGTAAAGCACCTTAGGTAAAGCATGCTACAAAAATCAAGCAGACAAGTGCATCACCGCTACTCTTTTGAAGGGGGTACTACATAAATTTGCGATTCAATCGCACAAAATGTAGGCTGATTGTTAATAGAAAATCCTCTTTAAAGAAAAAACGAAAATTTGTATATCTGGCTACTTAATGGGCTTCTTGTTGGGTAAAGGAAGGGATGGTGGGGTTTGGGATGGGAAGGGGGACCGAAAGGCTGAATGCGTAGTACATACACCATTAATTGCAGCTGATCGGCACTGTTATGGTTTTGCTAGGGAGCTTCTATTTTATTCTGTTTTTATGCTATGCAAAAGGGCGCTGCAAGAAGCTGAGGTTTTGGCTAATTTTATCTCTCTCGAATCGCGAGTGGTTGGGAGCTGGTGCAGCTTCTGAGTGAGAACACTTGTTTCACTTCGGCGTAGTTTCACTTCTTTTCACCACAGTGGCGCCCCATTTCCGAGCAAATTCCGGCTATAAACTTAGCCTAGCTCGCACGTGCTTCGACCTCCCCATCTGATCCCATAAAGTGCCGAGTGCCCATCAATCAGTCAACACCAATCCACTGATGTTTGTGGTTTCTTCGAACATCATCTAACTACTCAATGAAACTGTCGGTGAGACAGTAAGGTTTGCTCATGGAGACTAATTTTATATGTTCCTTCTGGCAAGTTTCTTTTTTTATTTTAGAATATAACTTGACAGCATCCGCTGGATCACAACCCTACCGATTCATGCTAACCAAAAGTGCTTATGTTCGTAGCTTTGGTTATGATTCTTTCATTACGTTGGTATTGGGTGCCTGCAAATGAGTGCATAAGTTCTCTCCTTATGGAGGAGCTGCCTTGAAAGACTGCATTCGATTCTTGCGACTATACACATCCGTCTACGACTGCTATAAGTCCCTAATGGCATTTTTCGAATAATATTGACTGGAAAAGCTTTTCCGAGAGACGAACCTTCAAGGAAACTCATCAACGACATGGAAATTGTAGAACTTCCATGTCAAATTTCTTAAGTGCCTTTGAAGGTTTGCCTTCTCTGTATTTAGTAAAGCCTGAAGGGGCCATATTCGGAGTGTAGTGTTGAAGATGGATTCTGAAGTTCCTTTTGGCTCTATCGGAAATGTCTAGGTCTCTTTATCTTGGTAACCCCCATAGTTATCAAATAAACGGTGGTTTTTGTCGCACTAGGGTTCGGTATGAGAAATGAGGTGGTATCGACCTTTGGCTGAACTGGCACTTCGACACTGTGAAGGGAAAGGGAAATACAAAGAAGGACGTTGTACAAGACTTATAGATCACAACTTCCAGAGTGAGGCATAATGCTACTCAATATGGGATCACTTCAACACAATTTAGATTTTTGTCTATTGTTGTAGTCACTTTACTCAGACAATTTTTGGTTCGCCTGAGTACGCCTTGCTGCTCACACAACGGCTAATGCGCTACCGGTACGTTCATCGCACATCTGTCAATTACACACTGCTGATCCCGACTTGTTTTGAGCGGGCGCCTAACGACGGCACATGTGTGTCTGAAGATGTGATGTCGCCACAATTGTGTCGTTAGCGCTAAATGTTGCTGCTAATGTGGCGACGACATTGTTACGCCACGCCCACCGTGATGACACGCGCGCGACTACTGTAGCGGTGGGTTGTAAAATCTCGTCCGGTCGCACTTGTCACTGGTGCACAGGCGCTCCCCGTGTGGCTGGGCTAGAAGGTGTCTCGCATGCCTGTTTGCGGTTACCGGTGTATTACTGCCTCAAACCTGTCAACCGCTACGGTATTGCTGGCAATGTCTGGTATACAGCAGTTGTTTGGTGACATACAGGTCATATTTACTGTCCATGACGGTCTTCTCCATTTTTTTAGTCCTGCGGCAGCACAGCACAACGCCGTCCTGCAGAGCGTGTAAGTCTTCCAACCGATACTTGGTAATGTTGATGGTGCTACGCTCATTGGTTTTTTTACACGTTTCATTTATTTTAGAATTGTCTTACCCTTATGCTGCCGTTGTTCTATCATGGTTCCCTGTAGCTTGAGGCCGTTTCGAGGCGCCATCCTCAATGACAAAAGTTTCGTGCCGTCATGGATTACCAAGGAGAGATATTTCAAGTGAAACGTCGCTGCTCTCATTGGATTTCAGTGAGAAGTTGTGAATATTTCGCAGATTTCGATTCATCATTATTAATATGGCACAGCTGTACATAATTCTTCGTCTATAGCACTGATCTCGAATGATTATGTGCGTTTGTTAATAATCATTCCGATTTTCCATAACAGAAGCATTTCAGATAAGAATGGAGTCGGGGGCTTGTCGTATTCCTCCTTTTCCTTTACTATGGAATCCACTTCTTCTACCTTTCTCGACGGCGTTAATCGCAAAGCTCCAGGTAAGACTTCGGTTTTAGATATCATAATTTTGCCGGCACACGGCTGCAATCAAGTAGGCGGAGGGAGTGGGCAGCGCCTGATGAATATTTAATCAAAAATCTCCTAACATCTGTGATTCTTAAAATCTTTCTTTAAAAAGTTGAACATGCTGTCTCACTGATGGTATTTTCCCATCCTACTCATCGCTCTTTAGCGCAGAGCATTCAATATTACTTTCCGTCTAAGACCGTTTCATTGCGAAATACGTTAGTATGTTGAAATGCTTCAAGTGACTTAACAGCGTGATTCCGGAAAGCGCGCAGCCCTACGGGTTAATCAACTAGTAATAAAAATAGGTCAGTGACTGCAATCAATGATTATGCTTTACGATCCTCAAATGAACTCTGTAGCAAGGAGGACAACAGAGAAGATCAGCGCTGTGTTTGACTCAGTCTCTGCTACTGATAGGGTACTGAGCTAGTGGACCAATCGCAACGGCAAAGACGAAACGAGCTATGAACTTCAACCTCATACTGGGCCTGCGGTCATTTTTGATGAGCGCCCCTTGCACCCTAAATTGGGAGTGCCTCCGCACGTTGCTACCATGGTATTGTAGCAGATACCTGAGCGCAGCCGATGCACCAGCACTGGCCATCAGTATGGCAAAGACTGCTGCAGAGTGAAGTTTTGATGGAAACCTTATGGTCCGGCCGACCATGAGCGGGAAGCACGCCTGATCACCTGGGGAAAACCCATTCTTGGATGGCAAAAGCAGAGTCTTCCCTAATCGGTCACCGGTGGAAATGAGTCAAGAGTCCACTGCGACAACAACATGCGGCACGTCTTATGGCTGCCTCGCAGCTAGGAAGCACCAGCTCAACCAAAGCCCGAACTCCGTTTTCTGAGAATATCGATCTCGTTTTATTGGATTCGCTAGGTGGCCTGGTTTGGGAACCACTTCAATGTATGAAGACAAGCATTGCTGAAGTCAGCGCGGAATAGCCCTCTTGGCTGGCTTTGGGGTTGCGAGAGAATCGTCAGAAACGTCTCAGATCCTCCTTCCTCCGAATGTACACCAGACCTCACATTGCAATGCCAACTCACCACGTTCTGAGGGAAACAGCCAGGTCCACGATACCTCATCCACCATATAGCATTGGCATCGCTCTATCGGACTATCGCCTCCCCTGCGCTTTGAATAAGCATCTGCCAGAGAAGAAAGTTAAAGATTGCGGTCACCCCAAAAACGACTTCTCCAAATTCTTCAACCCTCAGTTTCCTTCATTCTGGGGTGGAAGCTTCCAAACGCCCACTAGTAAATGCACGTATATCAGTGACCATGATGGTGGTTATGCTATTAGTCAGTTGTTTCCCAGAAGAGATAAAACTTGAATAAACAAAAGTGTCGAAATTGCGACAGTAATTATGAACAACCCAAATATTTCCCATCCACTCCATCGCTCTTCCGCAGAGCATTCAATATAACTTTTCAGTCGGAGGGACGGGCAATAGTGGGCTCAAGGAGTTACAAAATGCCTCCCTAGTGAGATGTGCGTCGAAATGTAATAATATTATGAATACATGTTCACACAATATATATGAGCATTTACAATAACGTTTTTGAATGACTTGAGAGGAACTGATGGAGACCACAAAAAAAAGTGTGCAAACTATTCGTTTGTTGCATATATAACTCCCTCTCGAATTTCGATTCTGTATTAAGTGTAGCCAGTAAATGATCTTCCAATCATTTTTTTCTTTGAAATGAAGATTTTATTAATCGCATTTCCATAGTGGGTTTAAGTCTAACAGCGCTTTGAGTATTCGTGCCTCGCACATTCCCATATTCTCAGTAAACTATCGCAAGTCAAAATAGCTAGTACTGTTGTTTCAATTGTATGTTTTTAGAATTGATTGTTGATTCAAGAAAACATGTCTCATTTTAGAAAAAATCACTCTATCCATGCCCGAAGTTATGATACCGTATATCCGCCGTCACTTTCCCAATTTGCGCCACCATTTCCGCTGACAACACATATGGTACCGATAAGCCCCTCTTCACCATCGTCTAGCATAGCTGCAAGCAGCGAAAGCAGTGAGTTTGTTATAATCACACATATCTCAATAGATTACCTATATTGTTAATGTTCTTTATCGCTGCTACTGAATCTTTCAACGTATCATTGTGTTTATGGCCGATTTGAGGTCCTCACTACCTTTCATTCTCTTTCATCTGTATAGAGTTCATTTTCTCCTTTCTTGTGTAGTATGATATTTCTTCCAGGGTCTTATAGTTAGTGTCCCGGGTCTCTTGTAGAATGATCTTGAATATCTACGTTTCGTTGTTGTCAAGTGTAATTTCCCTTTGGTGACAATCCGATTTCAAGACAAGACCATATTGATTACAAACACTGAAATACTGTACTTGTTGGCAAAGTCACTCTCTAATGTTACAGTGTATTCGTGTGTGTATGAGTGCGAACTTACTTAACAGAATTAATTAGGTTTGCCATCCACCCCTTCGCCGTTGTTGTCGAAAGTCAAAAAGGAACGTGATTGTCAGTGCGAAATTTGTGGAAAGACATTTGGACGTCACTGGCTTTTGCAAGGTCATCTACGCACTCACAGTAAGTTACGTTAATGGTGTTCTGCCTGCTTTACTTTTCTTCAAGTTGCGCCTACTGGTTTGTAGGGTTTACCAGCTGCATGTAAAAATATGCAAGAAAATATTCTTGGTGTAATCCTACGAAGCAGCATTTCCACACATGCAATAAATCGAAATATGGAGCTCACGAATGAATTAAATAATTGTTCTTGTGAATGATCAGCTTACTTCTCGGCTCATCTTTTTTCATTCAATTTTCTTACAGCTGGTGAGAAGCCGTTCTCTTGCAATGTTTGTGGGAAGGCCTTCGCTGACAAAAGCAATCTTCGCGCTCACATACAGACGCATAGCAGTGAGTTTTGATGGATTTTTTTCTCGATAAAGATTCCACTTCAGAGTACTTCGATGACAAAGGTTGAAATGAATTATCTAATGGGCGTCCATGGGCTACTCGAGCCCCCCGTCCTTCAAATCGCCCCAATCTAACTTTTCAGCCTGCGCTCTCTCGCCTAAAAGCGGATCATGACTACTGTGACCTCATGCATTAGCTTTTGCCACAATTTAATAGGCTCACCCACTGTAAAGTTTCCTCCTCTCAAGGCCTAGTTTTAAGGCTCTCATCTTCCTCCTTGGGATTTGGAGCCGGTTCTCATCCCTAGCCATTCGTGGCCGAAACATAGAAGAAAATTCAAGTTCTATAAACCATAGTAAGGAGCTTGAGAAAAAATTCATAGGGATTGTTGAAGGCGATGGTTGCTGAAAAATGTTTATATAAATTATTCGTGAGAGAATGAGAACACTCTCTTCGAGTATTTCTCCGATTATGTTTTCGTCTCGGGTATTCGAAAATCTACCTCATTTCTTTTAATATGTATCATTTTTGAAAACTACCTATCGTCCTTAACTCCGTGGATTTACTGTATTCTAGGCGAAAAGCCTCACCACTGCCTGCGTTGTGGGAAACGATTCGCGCTAAAGTCGTACCTTAGCAAGCATGAAGAATCCGCTTGTTATCGGGCCACATCTACAGGATCTGCCAGCGTTTCCAGCGAAGTGGCAACAGGTCCTGTCTTCCATCAGTCGATTTCGTAGATGCTTGAGTGAGATGATTATAATCTTTTGGCTTTTACTTACTCTACCAGCCCACAGTGGTAGTAACTGCTTACAATTATCGGATACGAATGCGAGCTCATTTATGAATTGCCACATTTATTGCTTTACCTGTCGCTCAAAGTTTTATTGCATATATGCTGCTGGTTTCTATTGTTTTTGATTTCGATTTCTGACCTAATTGCCAGCACCTCATTTTCTTGCTGGGTTGCCATTTTGCAGACCGCAATTCATACTCGCTTGACCAGCTAGCTGCAAGTTAGCCAAGCATGGGCGCAGTCTGGGTTGCCTGAGAGCGAAATGTGTCAGAGGCTTGGTAATACGTCATTATTTTGCGCTTCGTTATAGATGTCTATATAGTAATAATTTATTCTTGCATGTATTTACCTTTGTATATCTCCTATCGAGCTTCTTGTGTGTTTTCAGTTCTCATTGTTGCCTTTAAGTGCGTGTAATTATCATGTCTGTGCCTTTTAGAGCTCAATCTTCAATTATGACAGCTTTTATTTGGTAGAATCGCGCAGTAATGTCGCGCTAATATCAAAAATGACTTTTCAAGCTTGATAGATTGTATTTTTCTGTTCTTCTGTTTAATAATTGTTGTAAAGATTAAACAATTGTTCACACATGTGGTAGGGTTGTGGTTTTACCGCAACGGGTAGCATAAGATAAGTTTTACTTCGCCGTATTTCTTGTAGAAACCGATGGTGAGTTCAAAAAGAGCGTGACTTTCGGAAATTTTATTCCATGTAATTTCATTATTTCAGAAGTAGCTTTTCAAAATTGTCCTGCAAATCTTCTGTGCATTGGAACTTCGAAGGTTAGAAATTCATCCATAACTAGGTTACATCGCTTGTGTACGAGAAAACCTAACCACTTCATCTTGAATCATTAATCTTAAAAATTTTTTCGAATTGGCAACGGGGTCGTGCCACTCGGAATAATAATAATCGAATGCATAGCTTACGCACGGAACGAGAGCGTATTTGGTGTAGCGCAAAGACGCGCCGTAAGTGTAAGTGTCAAGCCGCGATCCCGCGACAGATACAGAAACACAAGTGTCCCGATCACGTACACGAGGTGCCTCCAATCTGGCCGTCCATTTTCGGCTCGATGTGTAAACGCTCTTGACTGACGATGTATTCGTGTTCAGTTCCACATTCAGTGTCAAATTTCAATGACACCGGCATTAGCGAATGGAGCGATCGCGCAACGTATCGTGACTTGACACCAGTCTTAGGAATCAGCCAGTTGCCGGCCAGTCCAGGGACACCGCCAGTGCAGCGTCAACTGCCGCTCGCACCATTGAAAGAGACAGTGCATTTGTGTACTGTATAGTGGGCGGCAGTCGTATTCGGGTGGAGTGAGGACTTGTTTTGGGAAAAGTGAAAGGGATTGTATATGATGAAGTTGAAAGGTAGAAAGAGAGTTCGCGGCGAGGGTGTTTTTCAAAGCTTACGCTCATGTCCTGAGAGGGTGTGCATTCAAAAACAGCGATAGTCAGTGACACTAGGGACTAGCCCAGGAGATGGAAACGTCATGCGAGAAGTGCGAATCGATATATCCTTTCCTTTTAACCTCTGACTTCATCCCAAGCCTAATGGTTAGCCCAATCGTACTCTAAGTGGCTCACTCAAGTGCCCCTATCATAAAGAACGTCGAGTTTCTCTATGACTTTTGGTAGAACTCCATCGAGACGTGGAAATGATGATAATAGGGATTGCTTCACAGAGGGGGGGGATCAAATTGTGGGGCGGAAGCGCACGCAACAGTTGACCTGCTTTCATCCGTTCGAGGGGTTGATTAGATAGCAGACTGCCCCGAGGGCATCAACCCTGTAAAACATTGTTCAAAAATATTGCAACAAGCTTAAGCATGGAAAACCACTTCCAAATACCCCTTGAGTAAATCAGCCACTAAGGTAGATTTGCGCGGAACATGATCACCGTAAGTGCTAGAATCCCTTTCTGAAATATGCCATCGTAATAATTATGGAAACCCAGCACAGAAGAGTAATGTCTATGCTGCGTCCCCACACCAAGCCGCATTGCCCACGGGGCATAAAAGTACGTCCCCACATCGAGCCGCAATGTCGCCAATGGCTTGAACGTGGAAATTTTGGTACGTTAGCGGTCAGTTCTGCCAACAGCACAGTGGGCTGCAATAAAATCATTGAGCTTCAAAGCCGCTGACGAACTTTGACGGCAAGTGGGGCACTGAAGCCCTCTGGTGCAAGTTTACGATGAGTCGCGTGTTGGTGACTGTAAATCGCCCATAAAGCAGTGCGGTGCCCTTACTGTGCAGACACTAAAAGATCGTCACCGAGTTCTGTTGCGACATCACTGTGACACGACAACTCACTAATATACTTTGCTTTTGAGCAACCTGTCCATTATACAGCCCACTGCAACAGTGGGTAAAATTGTGGGGATGTTCTGGGGCGAGGAAATGCAAGTAAAAACCATGTCATTAAAGTGCCACGTATTGGGGTGAATCACAGGCTCCGGGTTTTTATGGCTTTTCTTTTTCAGAATCGTTTTTTTTTCGCCAAGTTTACGGTAATCGAATCATCAAAGGACTTTTCGATAGAGAGGAAAACGCTCAGAATCATCCTGAACTTTTACTTGGGAATACATAGTTACTGTTTGCTGATACGGTTCTGGGATTGATGCCCTCTACAATGAGACTTCCGCAACATCATGATATTCTTTGTCTTTTCTGGCCCCAAGCTCACGACTCCCAACTAGCTTTAAGTGTGCGTTGAGGAAATCCTCGACGAGGGAGGGGGAGGGGGGTGGAGGCGTATTGGATCAATGGACCTGAGGAGAGTGTTGTACATAGAGCCGAGAGAATTAGTGTTCAGGTGTCTAGCTGACACATGAAGTGATGGCCGCACACCAAACGGATAGTCAGGCTGCAACACGCGGCGCGTCCCTTAGCGAGTTCGACCTCACGCTCGACCTACGCGTACGCTTAAATTCCCTTTCCTTGCAATGGAGATGTGAGTTCGGAAGACATCGAGAGGTTACTGGGGTAAATGAAAGAAGGAATCCGCTACCTAGTAAGGGATACATTTTTAAGCGGTAACGGCATAAACATGCAGCCATTCAAGTTTGCAACCTTGCAGTTTACTTCTACCCTTATACTGAAAAGACGAAAGCATTAGGATTCAAAAGCGGTTTTCAAAACTGCATACAAAATTTGCATGAAAGAAGCTATGGTCGTCATGGTGGTCCCAATACAACTAAGAAGAGCCTTTCAGCGCAGTTGAAAAAAAATCGTCAACGCGGCTACTTTTGACCTGC